AGCCCAGCAGACCTCAGCATAATCTCGAAGTAAGAGATGATCAAGAGGGGACCAAACCGAGCACGTTTTGAGACATCCTTGGCGTTTAGTTTTCATAGAAATATCCTCAACAATGGCTTATCTCGCTGGAGACATCCTCGACAAATCCCTTGTTTCGCTTGAGACATCCGCAAACTATTGCTTATTTCGCTTGAGACACAGTCAAACCATTGCTTATTTCGCTTGAAACATCCTCGAAATAATTGTGTTGTCGCTTGTAACGTCCTCAAATTATTTTAATCTATCAATTTTAATTTACAGGCGCTTTATGAAAATTGATTTTTAAAGTGCTCGTGTAGGGTAGCTCATGTGCTCCATTTTCCGTGGATAATCAACCCCAGGGATAAAACAGTTCAGGCGAGCGTGAGGACAGATAGAAATATAAAATAAGAAGAGGAAATAAGAATAATAATAAGAAGAGAAGAAGAATAGAAGAAGAAGAAGAGAAGAAAAACGGACAAATTGCAGGTTTCAAATCTATCAATTTTAATTTACAAGCGTTTTATGAAAATTGTTTTTTTTAGTGCTCATGTAGGGTAGCTCATGTGCTCCCCTTTCCATGGGTAATCAACCCCAGAGATAAAAAAAAGTTCAGGCGCGCGCGGGGATAGATACATATCTAAAAAGGAAGATAATAAAAACTATAAGTAAAAAAGAAAAAACTTGCTGGCTTAGCTTGAAACATCCTTGAGACATCCTGAAAAGTGTGATCGCTTCGCTTGATGTTGCTATCTCAACATCGCTTGATGTTGCTATCTCAACATAGCGTTTCGAGGTGATAATGAAGTTCGGCCTCAGCGCTCGCCGCCCAATTTGAATTTTGTATAGGGCGACGATAATCAACTCTAAACACTGAAGGGGGGGGGCCCCTTTATTATCATCGGCATGCGGTTATAGGCTATGTAATGACTAATTGACAGCATAACTTAGAGCCAGACTTTATAGGCGAAGCTAGCACTGATACTTAATTGTGTTTCACAGTCGAGGGGGCTGCTTTCTGGGCGTAGGCTTTAGGCATTGGGCAAACAGCACACTTGTGTTTCACAGTCGTGGGGCGACCCAGGGGCCAGTTGTTTTTTGTGCTACGCAGTCGTGAGGCGGCCCGCTGGGCATTGTTAGGATTGTGTGAGGTAGATATATACAACTTACCAGTGTACCTCACCGTCGTGGGACAGCCTTTTGGGCAGAAGGCCAAGGGAGATGCAGCACATTAAAGATGTTACTAGTGCTACACAAATACTTGGGCGTCACGGATTTAGGGTGTCCCAAGGGCCAGTTGTAAATTGTGTTTCACAGTCGTGGGGCAGCCCGTTGGGCAAAGGCTTAGAGGCTACGTTATAGCCGAAACTTGCGATTCCCAGTAGTTGGGCGACCCAGGGGCCAGTTGTAAATTGTGCTTCGCAGTCGTGGGGCAGCCCTTTGGGCAGAATTCACAAGTATGCCCCAGGGCCTGCACGTCATCTACCAGTTGCCCACATAATTGGACACGTGTTTGAAATTGTCCAACTCAGAGTTCCCCAATCAGTGATTGCACTGAGGGGCCCTGGCGGTCTCTGTACGATTAGGCTTGTGGGTCGACAGAGGTACCGGAGTCAGTTGCCAGCAATCCACTGATTGGGTCTTTTCTGATGTACTTTGAGACTCTGTGGCGGCAGGGGGATCGCCAGAACAAGCAGGCAGGGATTTGGGGATGCTGCACCGTAGGGGAGTGGCTCAAGCCACGATGACTGAAAGGGGTCCCCACCAAGCCCCATTAAATTCATGCGTCTTCGTAGGGTACGACAGCGGTAACACTTTACCCGTGTCCTATTTGTACAGCGTCGACTATCCTCCTCCTCCTCCTCCTGCTACCCTCCTACCCCTCTCTCCTCTTGTCTCCCCCTCCTCACCCATACCTTCCCCCTCCACCTTCACTCCCTCCTACCTCCTCCCCCCCTTCCTCCTCCCACCTTCCTCCCCCCCTTCTCCTGCCCCTCCAACATCCCCTCCGCCTATGCTCCTTCCGAACATTCCTCCTCCTCCTCCCCCCCCTCCACCCGTTCTTTCCCTTCCCACTCCTCCTCGATCCCGTATCCTGCCCTCACTCTTCCAGTCCTTCCGTTTTGCGCTCTCCTGCTCTGTTCCCCTCTGGACTCTGCTCCGCCTCCTCCCCTCATCCTCCTCCTGCCGCTTGGTGGCGCCGCCGCCCGCCTCCGCCTCCCTCTTCCTCTCCCCCCCCCTCTTCCTCCCTCGTGGCTCTCCTCCTCTCTCGGTGCTGCTCCTCATACCCTCCCTCCACTCCCCATCTCCTCTACCTCTCCTCTCCTCCTCCCACCTCCTCCCCCCCCTCTCCCCTCCTCTTCCGCCCCTCTCATCCTGCTGTTGTTTGTTCTTCCTCCTCCTCCTCCTCCTCCTCCTCCTCTTCCTCCTCCTCCTCTTCCTCATCATCATCGTCATCATCATCATCCATCCATCCTTCATCATCCTTCCTCCCTCCTCCTGCTCCCTGTTCATCCCTTCTCCACCTCCTCCTTCCTCTCCCTCCTCCTCATCCTTCCCCCCCTCCTCCTGTTCCTGCTCCTGCTCCTGCTCCTCCTGCCCTTCGTCCTTGTCATCATCCTGGCTCCCTCCCTTCTCCCTCCTCCCCCCTCCCTTCTCCTCCCTCCACATCCCCTCTCATCGGCGCTCATCTTTTCCTCGTCCTCCCCTGGAGGAGATGAGGCCGACGTCGTCGCCGAAAGAACAAGCAGACAGACAGACGAGGGAGGAGGAGGAGGAGGAGGAGGAGGAGGAGGAGGAAAAGTAGGAGAAGGGAGGAGGAGGAGGTGTGAGGAAGGAGCAGGAGGAGGAGGACTAGCAAGATAATGGGGGGTGTTAAGGGCGTATTGGGGAATGAGGGTGGGCGTAGGAGGAGGAGGAGGAGGAGGAGGAGGAGGAGGAGGAGGAGGAGGAGGAGGAGGAAGGAGGAGGAGGAGGAGGGGGGGGAGGAGGAGGAGGAGGGAGGAGGAGGGGAGGAGGAGGAGGAGGAGGAGGAATGAGGAGGAGGAGTAGGATGAGGAAGAGGGGGAAAGGGGGAGGGGATGGGGGCGGAGGAAAAGGAGGAGGGGGAGGAGTGGGAGGAGGGGGAGAAGGGGGAGGAGAGGGAGGAGGAGGATGCGTAGGGGGAGCTCCTCCTCCTCCTCCTCCTCCTCGTCATCCTGGAGGAAATACAGACCTTCACGCTCCAGGCCCCCGGAGGAGGAGGAGGAGGAGGAGGAGGAGGAGGAGGAGGAGGAGGATGAGGAGGAGGATGATGATGAGGAGGAGGAGGAGGAGGAGAAGCAGGATGAGGAGGAGGAGGAGGAGAGGGAGGAGACGGAGGAGGAGGATCTTGGTACGTCGAAAGGAGGAAAAGGCGAAGGTCGGAGAAGGAGGAGGAGGAGGCGAAGGGGGCGCGAAGCGCATGATTGGATTCAAATTGGAGCGCAATGAGCTTGGTACGTTTGAAACCAACTGCAGCGCAACGTGCTTCATTGCAGTGAGCTGCAGCGTAAACGGTGGCATCACCGCGCGCTGGGCAACAAACAAATTATGCGAACGGAGTTCCCCGCATACAGATGTTAACTGTTTCGTGGGACCCATGGGGTACGACAACATCAACAGGAAGGAGAAGACTCATCGAACGAGTAAGTACGCGCGAAAGGGCAGACGAAAAATAGTAATGCTTTCCGCGGCCCTCCTCGTTCAAGCGCGGCCTTTCTGGAGGAGTTGAGGGGAGACACGAATCCGTGTAAACTGCATTGTTTTCCGATATCCTCCTGGAGGAGGAGGAGGAGGAGGAGGAGGAGGCGGAGGAGGAGGAGGAAGAGGAGGAGGAGGAGGAGGAGGAGGAGGAGGAGGAGGAGGAGTGGAGGGGGGGCACGAAACCATGTAAATAGTATGGGTTTCCGATACCCTCCTCGCTCAGGCGGGGCCTCCCTGGAGGGGTGAGAGGAGCACGAAACCATACAAATAGTAGTGCTTTCCGATACCCTCCTCGCTCAGGCGGGGCCTCCCTGGAGAGGTGGGAAGGGGCACGAAACCATGTAAATAGTACGGGTTTCCGATACCCTTCTCGCTCAGGCGGGGCCTCCCTGGAGGGGTGGGAAGGGCACGAAACCATGTAAATAGTATTGGTTTCCGATGCCTTCCTCGCTCAGACGGGGCCTCCCTGGAGGGGTGGGAAGGGCACGAAACCATGTAAATAGTATGGGTGTCCGATGCCTTCCTCGCTCAGGCGGGGCCTCCCTGGAGGGGTGGGAGGGGCACGAAACCATGTAAATAGTATGGGTGTCCGATACCCTCCTCGCTCGTGCGGGGCTTCCCCGGACGGGTGGGAGCGGCACGAAACCATGTAAGCATTATGGGTTTCGGATACCCTCCTCGCTCAGGCGGGGCCTCCCTGGAGGGGTGGGAGGGGCACGAAACCATGTAAATAGTATGGGTTTCCGATACCCTTCTCGCTCAGACGGGGCCTTCCTGGAGGGGTGGGAAGGGCACGAAACCATGTAAATAGTATGGGTTTCCCATACCCTCCTCGTTCAGGCGGGGCCTCCCTGGAGGGGTGGGAAGGGCATGAAACCATGTAAATTGTATGGGTTTTCCATACCCTGCTCGTTCAGGCGGGGCCTCTCTGGAGGGGTGGGAGGAGTGGGAGGCGGGAGGCGGGAGGGAGAAGGAGAGGATGTTCTGGGAAAACAAGAACCCCACTCAGGATGTGGGGAAAAAACACAAGACGCTATGGGGGGCTGGCATAGAGCAACACCATAGAAACACGTGGCTGACACAAAAAAATCAAATATGCATTCGCTGCGCGCTTTTTCTGCACATTGTAAACTTACAGGAATTAGAGTGGTTGAAGATAGGGGGAAGTTTGGGGATAGAGTGGTTCAAGACTGGGGAAAGTTAATTTCCAAAAGAACAAGGAAAAAATGAACAGCTACCTTCCACAACCTCAACCCAACTTCCACAACTTCTCTTGAACTTCAGGATCTTAGTTGTGATCATCTCAAAAGACTTCAAGGACCCCTCCCCACCGGGACCAGCCCGCCGGGTCCCCCTCCCGCGGGGAAGGGACAAAGGGAAGGGGTTTCCTTTTCGACGAGGTTGCGAAATTGTTGGATCCTCCTTGCTTGTTCGATCCTCCTTACGACGACTAGGTCGGGCTGGCCTCGCGTCGAAGGGTCTCTCACACACGCCGTCTAGGCCGGCGGATTCCAGCAGTCATGGGCAAGGTTTGCGCCTGCCTTTGGTAGCCTTCCGGCGATGCCATGGTTGCGCTTCGCGATAGCAGCTCGTCGTTCGTGCCAGGCAGGCTGGCGTGTTGTCGCTGGTGTTTTCTCCTCCACCTCCATCCTCCCCATCCTCCCCCTTCTCACGTTCGGTGGACGTGTAGAGACAAAGTAGCGTGGCTCAAACGAGCCGCAGCCACGACCATGTCGCGCGCGCGCCGCGGGGTTTTGCTGGCTGTCTTGACGGTCGTGGGCTTGCTTCTGGCGATGCCATGTTAGAGCAAGAGAAGCGGAGGAGAACCAGAAGCAGCGCTGGCGCTGACGCGGAATCATCGGCATGTTGGTGGTCCGCGCGCTGGCAGAGACGGCGGCCAGCGCGGGCAGGGAGCACTCGGAGGACGAGATGCACTGAGAGAGGCATTTGACGTATACAGCGCCATGGGTTGAGCGTTTTAGGCAGATCACGGACGAGGACAAGTCCGTTCGGGAGCGTTCCGGAGCGCTCTCTGAGCATCTGAGAGGGCAGCGGCGCCCGAGACATTTTCCAGAGCCGCCCGATCTCAGAGATTCCCCATTTTTATTATCACCTGATTTTGTCCTCGGCCTGACTTGGTCTCAATATTCATCAGTGGGAGGATGAGATGTGAGGAACAGCAGCAGCAGCAGCAGGTTGGAGGAGGAGGGGGACAAGGTGGAAGTGCAGGGCGTTGCCAAGCCGTCAGGCCGATGGACCGCCACGACGTGGAGTCCTTCGTCGAGCAGTGCGAACGCTTCGTCGCTCTCAGCGAGGAATCGCCAAATACGTAGCGCTGAATAGCACTTTGGATAAGTAATTGTAACGAGAAGCTGGACAGGAAATTGCATCATAGTCCAGGTGGGGATCGATTTGTCGGGGAAGTTACAGCATATTGGGATGGCCATTGTCTATGTAATCCCATTGCGCAGGGAACAAACGCGAGTGGTGTTATGAGTCTCTGATCGATGAGTTTGTTGGAAATGCCGCAGCAGCAGTTGTCATGAAGGCGTTCGCCTGGATCACGCACCGCAGTCAGCGCAGGAGCGAGAGTCGGGACGCGTCTGAGCGCAGAGATGCATGATCTTACAGGTTTTTTCTTTTGTGTTCCTCCCCCCCAGTTCAGTGAAAAGCATCCCGACCCAGACAAAAAGCGAGGCTCCCGTGCCGAACGAAGTTTTGCCGCTCATCAGCTGGTTGTATAGTCATCGTGCTGCCAGAAGACGCATTGAACAGGGAACGAAGGAGCGTTTCTGGCCGCGGCGAGTCTCGGGCGCGAACACGTTGCCCGAATCGGATATGAAAAACGGCCAGACAACCAGAGCTATTCTGAACCAAGATGGTCCTAACCAGGGTGGTCCTCATTTCTCAGGAGGGGAAGAAACACACAGACACAATTAATCCTCGATTCCCCAGAAAATATGGGAAAATATGGGCAGTGGGGGGGAAGACAGAAACCCAGAAAACATGGGAAACTATGGGGGATATTTTTATTTGTGTGTATTTATTTGTGTGTCCTGGGTCCCCTTCAATGGTCCTGACCAGGGTGGTCCTCATTTCAGCGTCTTGGCCGTATTCCACCGGCTGGGGCCGTCGTGAGGACCGTCCCCCTCCAAGTCTGCGCGCCGCTGCCCGCAAATGGGGGCGGCCCGCAGCCGGACGGAGGCAAGACCCCCCGCCCGACACGACGAGGGAGTCTTGTAAAACAGGGCCTCCTCCTCCTCCTCCTCCTCCTCCTCCCTCCGCCCCTCCTCCTCCTCCTCTTCCTCCCCCTCCACCTCCTCCTCCTCCTCCTCCTCCTCCTCCTCCCCCTCCTCCTCCTCCTCCTCCTCCTCCTCCTCCTCCTCCTCCTCCGCCCGACACGACGAGGGAGTCTTGTAAAACAGGGCTAGGATCGGGATAAATCGCTCCGGAGCGTTCCGGAGCGCTCCCAGAGCGTTCCGGAACGCTTTGGAGCGGCCGCGGCGCCCAATACATCCTCCAGACCCGCCGATTCCCAGAGATTTCGAGTTATCCCGATCCGATTTTGTCCCGATCTTCGCGTCGTTTTGTCTTGTCGATTTGCGGGCAGGTGCCCCGCGATGAGCCGTATGCCGTTGCCTGCCAGTCCTCGTCCCCAGCACGGGCCCGTGGAGGTCGAGAAGGCGGCTCCGGCACCACCCGGGCGGACCTCCTCCTCCTCCTCCTCCTCCTCCTCCTCCTCCTCCGTTGGACATGCCTCGAGCTGGACGCCGAAGCAGCAGCGACTGCACACCGCCACGAGGGGGTGATGGTATCGAGCTGATTCTTGCTCAAGTCGTGGCTCGGGCCCCTGGGCATCTCGACCCCGTCCCGGCGATCGGTTCTTCACCCCCAGGTTGTTGCTTCATGGCCCTGGGGCCCGAAGCGGGCTCCCAAAGTTCCAGATTTGGAACAGCCGGCCATCGGGATCGCTCTGAGGAGGCAGGAGGCTTGCTGATGGGGACGCCCGAGATGGATCCGGAACAAATGGGCACGATGCCCAACAGCAAAGGTTGTCCAAAACCGACAGCGGCCGGTGCTGAGCACGCGACCATGGCTATCAAGTGAACAACGTCCGCGGCGACGGCCACGGCGACAGCGATTTCTGCTCAAACTGGACAGGACCTGGTTGTCCTTCTACCCATTCTTCCCGTACCAAGTTCGGTCCTGCAGAGCTGAAAGCAGTGGTCTGTGCTCGGGCTCCGTTCCGCGGAAGGCACCGGTGCATCACCGCCAAGCTTGGCCAGGGCCGTCCAGGGCCCCAGGATGGCGTACAGACTCCCGCCCCTGCTTGTTTACCCCACTTGTCGCTCGGCCGACAGCACGCTGCCTGCGTCGCATTTCGGTAGGTTCGTGCGGCGTTGGCGCGCGAGCGACGCCGGCGAAGGCGTTGAAGGTTGCAGTCTGCGGCGCGGGAGCACCGAGGGACACTGTCACGCCACTGACACCGACTGAGTTCAACCCTGAACGAGCGGGGCCGCGATGGATTCGAGGTTGATTGATCGACGCGTTGTCAAAAACCGTTGTGCGCGCCGACGCCGCACGAAACCTACCGTAAAAGGGGTTCGGTGAGCAAGCAAGACGTTGGAATAGTGACCATTTTGCAATCAGGATGGGATCTGGTTTTCGGTCCGCTTCTTCGACCTCGGCCGGGGAGCCTATTCGTGATCGAGGCCCACCACGGTGCAAACCAAAAACTTGTCCTCTTTTGGCGCCCCTCAAGGTGGCAGGATTGCCGTAACACGCGCTCCGAGGATCACCGACGGGTACCTCTCAGTGGCGAGGAGGTGGCCTTCTGCGAAGGCGGGAGCTCCTCGGAGACCTGGGGCCCTCTCGGAAGGCCTCCTGGCTGCCGAGCCTTCAGAGCCCTTTGCCCTCCCCGCCCTCTCAGAAGCCCGCCCCCCCTCCCTCGCGCCACCCCTTTTGCGGGCAATAATTATATCCACATCCAGTGCGTCTTGGATTCTTGGGCTCTCTTCCCCAGAAATCGTAGACGTACTGGATATGGATAAAAATCTGGCCCCGAGAGGCCTGATCTTATCCATCTCCAGCGCGCCTCGGCGTTGCGGCACCTCTTCCCGAAAAGTCCACGACGCTCTGGATATGGACATAAGTACTGCCCGCACCCCTTGCGCGCGCCGCCGAGCAGCGGCGGTATGCGCGGGGTGCCCTCTGCGCTCGGGCCGGCGCGGCGAGGCAGGGGCCGCCGCCGAACGCGCCCCGCGCGCCTCCGGTCGCGTGATTCCTGGTTTGCCTCGTGCATACGGTTGGGCACCACCATTGGCATGTTGGCATAATGGGGGGGGGGGAGAACAAAAGAAAAAAAAAAAAAAAAAAAAAAAAAAAACTCGCCCCTGCGAGGACCTCCGGCGCCTGGCGCGGCCCGAGCACTTCCACCGGGTGCTCACGATCACGGGGGTGCCCTCGAACTACGGCAGGAGCGGGCCGCCCCGGCCTTGGCCCTGTCCGCTCGCGTCGATGGGCCTGCCCTGTGCCATGCCACCACGTACTCCTCCCCGCGTCGACGTCGTCGTCGTCCTCCTCCTCCTCCTTCTCCTCTCTCTCCCCTCCTCCTCTTCCTCCCCTGTTCTCGTCTTCTGTCTGAGCACGTTGTCCTTCTCTCTCTCTCTCTCTGACTCTCTCTCTCTCTCTCTCTTCCTCTCTTTCTCCGATTGCCTCTCTCCGTGTCTCTCTAGGTCTCCCATTATACATGTGTATTTTTTTGTATGAATAGCCATGGACCTATACATACATATATATAATCTATACAAATACACATATATGTACATATATATATACATACATACATATATATATATATATATATATATATACACATATATATATATATATATATATATATATATATCGGAGAAGCCCGGGGGGGGGGTCAAAACCGGTGCCATCATCTCCCATGGGCGCCCCCCCGAACCTTTGGGGGGCACAGACCCCCCGGGACTGCCCCAGGCCGCTTCCAAATTGCCCACGATAGGCCACGCGGGCCGTACAGATGGTCAAGACAGCCTCGAGAGGCCCGAAACGCCCAAGAGCGCCCCAAGAGGGCCCGAGATGGCTTCAAGATGGCCGAAGAGGGCCCCGAGAGGGCCTTCAAGAGGCAAACAATCGGCCCATTCCTTATGTAAAACGTACATTTTCAGCATACTCGCTGGCTTCGTTTTCACAGTGCCCCAGACATCCCCGCGGAGCCCCAACACAGCCCAAGAGAGACCCAAGAGGGCCCCAGACGGCCCAAAAGGGTCGGCCTGTGGGGCTCACGGAACCCCCCGAGACAGCCCAAGAAGCCCCAAAGCCGGCCCAGGAGGCCCCAAAGACGGTCTCAGGGAGGCTCAAGCTGAAGGCCTCGTTCGAAATCACGTTCCCCGAAGCATCTCCGGGAACCTGATTTCCGGGCTCCGAGGACGCCCAAGAGGCCCACAAGACAGCCTCAGCGAGGCCCAAGAGGGCCCGAGATGTCTTCAAGATGGCCGAGGAGGGCCCCGAGAGGGCCTTCAAGAGGCAAACATCGGCCCATTCCCATCGTAAAACGTACATTTTCAGCATACTCGCTGACTTCGTCTTCAGAGTGTCCCAGACGCCCCCGCGGAGCCCCAACACAGCCCAAGAGAGACCCAAGAGGGCCCCAGACGGCCCAAAAGGGTCGGCCTGTGGGGCTCACGGAACCCCCCGAGACGGCCCAAGATGCCCCGAAGCCGGGCCGGCCCAGTAGGCCATCAAGACGGCCCCAGGGAGGTCCAAGAGGGTCTCGTTCGGCATCATGCTCCCCGAAGCCTCCCCCGGAACATGACTTCCGGGCTCCCAGGACGCCCAAGAGGCCCACAAGACAGCCTCAGCGAGGCCCCAGAGGGCCCGAGATGGTTTCAAGATGGCCGAAGAAGGGGGCCTTCAAGAGGCAAAACTTGGCCCATTCCCCGCGTAAAACGTACATTTTCAGCATACTCGCTGGCTTCGTCTTCAGAGTGCCCCAGACGCCCCTGCCGAGCCCCAAGACAGCCCAAGAGAGACCCAAGAGGACCCCAGACGGCCCAAAGATCGTCCCATGGGGCTCACGGAACCCCCCAAGACGGCCCACGAGGCCCCGAAGCTGGCCCAGGAGGCCCCCAAGACGGCCTCAGGGAGGCCCAAGAGGGTCTCGTTCGAAATCATGTTCCCGGAAGCCTCTCCGGGAACATGATTTCCGGGTTCCCAGGACGCCCAAGAGGCCCACAAGACAGCCTCAGCAAGGCCTCTGAGGGCCCGAGATGGCATCAAGATGGCCGAATAGGGCCCCGAGAGGACCTTCAAGAGGCAAAAATCAGACAGTTCCCGTAGTACTACATACATTTTCAGCATACTCCCTTGCTTCCTCTTCGCAGTGCCCCAGACGCCCCCGAGGAGCCCCAACACAGCCCAAGAGAGACCCAAGAGGGCCCCAGACGGCCCAAAAGGGTCGTCTTCTGGGGCTGACGGAACCCCCCAAGACGGCGCAGGAGGCCCCAGAGGCCCCCAAGACGGCTTCAGGGAGGCCCAAGAAGCCTCTCCGGAAGCCTCTCCGGGAACATGATTTCCGGGTTCCCAGGACGCCCAAAGGCAGCCCCCAGAGGCCCCGGACGCGCCGAAGATGGCCTCAGGACGGCCGACGACGCCGCCAAAACGCCCCAAGAGCGCCTCCAGAGGCCCCTCCAAAGGGCCCCAGAAGCCGAACATCATTCATTTCCCAATGGTTTTTGAAGCATTTTTCGCTCTCCCATGTTCCGCCTCCCCACGGTCCAGGACCGCGTCAGAGGCCCTCCAGACGGCCGAAGAGGCCCCCAAAAAAGCCCAGAGACGGTCCAGGAGACTCCCCAGATAAGTCAAGAGGGCCTCGAGAGCGTCCCAAGAGAGCTCCAAGAGCGACCCAAGAGGGCCCGAGGAGCGGGACATCCCCGGAGGCCATCAAGAGGCTCCCAAGAAGCCCCGTGAGGCTCCCAAGGTGCCCCCCGGAAGCCCCAAATAGGCCCCCAAGGGACCCCCAGGGAAGCCCCCTGCGGGCCCCCAAGACACTTCGGTGAATCGTATTTCCCAGATAGCTTTCCGGGAACATGATTCTTTGGGCTTCCGCCCACCGCCCCAACCATGTTTCCAATAGGCTTGCCGACAAGGCCAAAAGGCGCCGTTCGGTAAGCCCCCAGAGGCCCCCCTCTTTAGAGAGCCGAACAAATCATGCTCCCAGAAAGCTTCCCGGGAACACGATTCTCTATCTCGGAGTAGGCCCTGGGGGGGGGAGGGGGTGGGCGGGTCGCTGCCTGTTCCCCCATCGGTGCCCACCACGGGTTGCGGGGGGGGGGTCCAGAGCTCCCGAGGCGGCCCGAGCCCGCCCCGAAGCAGACCATGACAGGCTAAGGGGGTCCCGAGAGGACCCAAGACGATCCCACGAGGCCCCGAAGACGCCCACGATGCCCTCAAGACAGCCGACTAGGACTCCAACACGCTCCAGGACGGACTCAAGAGGCTCCCCAAGAGGGCCCTGGGAGGCAAGATTCATTAATTTTCCCATGTGTTTTGAAGGATTTAGGCGTTCGCGCTTTCCCCGCTTCCCAGCGCTCCCTCACGGCCTCGCTCGGAGGCCCTTCAGATCGCTCCAAGACGGGCCAGGAGGCCTCGAAGAGGGCCCCAAGACGGCCCAGGAGGCTCCCCAGACAACCCAATTGTGCCCCAAGAGCTCCCCATGAGAGGGCCCAGAGGGGGACCGCCAACCGATATTTCGAGGTCTCTGGCCCTAGAGGCCGCCTGTCGGCCCCGGAGGCCACCAAGAGGCTCCCACGAAGCCCCGTGAGGCGCCCAAGAGGCCCCCAGGAAGCCCCCAGAGACCTCCAAGGGGCTCCCAGGGAACGCCCAAGAGGCCCCCCAACACACCGCAAGAAATCATGTCCCCAGAAAACCTTCCGGGGACCTGGTTCATCATGGGCCTGAGAGTTCCGGGAGGCCCCCAAGGGGCCCCCAGGGAACGCCCAAGAGACCCCCCAACACACCCCAACAAACCATGTCCCCAGAAAGCCTTCCGGGGACATGGTTCATCATGGGCCCGCGAGTCTCCGGAGGCTTCGAAGTACCATCATGCTACAAGAGAGCTGTCTGGGAAGTTGATTGGGAACATGACTGATCGCCTTCTCGCGGCCCTCCGCAGATCATTTCGCACAAAGTTGCCCCAAGTGCCCTCGTGAATCGACGACGACGACGAAACGAAACGACGAAGACGACGACGACTGCGACGACGACGACGACGACGACGACGACGACGACGACGACGACGACGACGACGTCGACGACTACGACGGCGCGCCCCAATAGGCGACGACGACATTACGACGACGACGACGACGGCACGCCCCAACAGGCTCCCCAAGAGCTCCAAACCCATGCTCCCAGAAGGCCTTCTGGGAACCCGATTCATACGGCCTCCGCCCCCCTACACAACCATTTTCCTCGAAGGCCTTTCGGAAGTCCACTACTTGAGTGGAGCAGTGAATTGGTCAAGGCCTGGGGCCTGCTAGAACCTGAGCGCGTGCAAAGCGCGCGCGATGTGTTTTTTGTTGTTGTTTCTCTCTGTCTCTCTCTCTCTCTCTATATGTATATAACCCTGGGAAGCAATCAGTAACCCCCCCTCCCCCCCCCCCCCTTCATCAGAGGAAATTATAACGCTTCCGGCACCGGGGCCGGGGCGGAAGCGATATCCCCCGCAGGTCACCAGAGGTCCGCGGAGGGGAGGTCCCCGGAGGTTCCCAGGAGGCATCCAGAAAGGCCTCCACAAGCCTCTGAATGCCCGGTCCCCTTGTAGTCCAGAGCCCAGCGACAAGGCACACCTGCCCAGAGTCGCTTCCTGTGATTCTGTGCGTTTCTGTGAGATTCCTCAGAGATTCCTCTGATACTCCGATTGGCTTCTTTTGAGATTCCTTGCCGTTTCCATTGTGATTATTTTGGGGCTCCTTTGAGACTCCTCTGGTGTTCCTTTGATGTTATTCTGAGGGTCCCTTGAGGCTCCGGTCATATCCCTTTGATGCCCCATCCGGGGCCGGTGGATTATTTTATTTTTAATAAATGTGCTAACATATCGCGGGGGGGTTCGCGGAATGCGTCTGCGAAATCTCTCCGTGGACTCTCCCATAGGATCCCCTGAAAGAATCAATATGTGATTATTTTGGGACTCCTTTGAGACTCCTCTGGTGTTCCTTTGATGTTATTCTGGGGGTCCCTTGAGGCTCCGGTCATATCCCTTTGATGCCCCATTTCTCAAGAGAGCATCACATCGACATCCAGGGCCGGTGGATTATTCTATTTGTAATAAATGTGCTAACATATCGCGGGGGGGTTCGCGGAATGCGTCTGCGAAATCTCTCCGTGGACTCTCCCATAGGATCCCCTGAAATAATCAATTTCCCTAGTGCGGTCGCAATAGGGATTGCT